GACTCTTTACCTGTAGAAGATGTCTCCACTGGTACGGAGTTCCATTTAACACTACCATTTCCAGCGTCTCCGTAGGATGGTTGGAAAACGTCCGGAGTAGTGACGGTACTTCGTTCAGCACACGTTCACCTCCCGGGTGGGCTCACATGAGTTGTGAGTCCGTCAGAGGTTCCACTCAGATGTGGAAGATTTCATAATTCCCACGAGACTCGGAAGAACTTCGGATCATGTCTGGAACCTCCTGTTCTCTCCAGCACTTTTCTGTTCGGTTCTGCCCTCCGAACTGAACTGCTCTCCCACCGCACTGGTTGGAACTAGGAAGTGTCGACATTTAAAGAGTTCTGTTTCCGGTTCATTTGGGAAGTCCTGATTGGCTGAAAGAGCTAATCAGGGGTGTGTTTTTTATGACGTAAGAGGTCACTAGAAGTCAGAAAAACAGAAAAATGTTTTGGAACAGACAGAAAATGTTTTTGAGACAGACAAGAGAAATGTTTAGGCGAGTTGGGAGGAAACAGGTGCCAGCTTCTCTATTTACGTCTGAGAGGATTTAAAAACATGACAGTTCGTTCCAACAAACTTGTTTGCGTTTGTCTCCGACGTTTGACCGACTTACAACCTGCTCATTTCAGACAGAAGATCAAGAAAATGAATAATTACTCTGTAACAGACATTAACTAGATTTCTACTTTGAATGAGGATTAAAAATCATTAATACTGTTTCACAGTTGATTTAAAATAAGTAGTTCACTTCAACATTTAAAAATGATTTGAATTAAACACACTTTTGATTTATCAAGACATTTGTAAAATAGTAATGATAATAGAAAAAGAGTGTTCTTTCAATTGATCAGTGCAGGACACACTTAGAAAGTCTCTGGATGGACTTGATTTTGTGTTTCTGGACTCAAATCAATGAAATACAGTTCTTGTCCCAGGAAGGCCCTCAAGGTCAGGATTTGACCTGAGGCTTAGTTCACTACACCCACGAAGGTCTTCAGAGACAGGTTGTGGTCGGAGGCCTAGATCACTACAATGTACATCCAGTAATTAGTTGCTGAGCATTTCATTCAAATCCATTTAATGTGTTCAGAAGATAAAATGTTATTGCTATTTCTCTGTTAGCGGGCAATAATTAACTGAAGTCACAAATGTTTAGAGATGCTGAAGGTCTGAGTATTTGTTTTGACTGATCTGAGAATAGTATGGCAATTTCTCAACAAAATAAAACTTATTACTTTGTCTTAATTCAGACAAATAAAATATTTCAGTTCAACTTGAATCTTGAGTCTACAAAGTATTTCTATTCAGTAAATGATTCTTTTGGTGCAGCTTTATTTGTTCCTCAGAAAATACTGACTTCCTCTCCTTACCTTGTTATCATTTTCCGATTGACTTGCACCGCTCATAGTGATGATAAGCGTTGAGTTTCTTATGAGGGGCACAGGGGAGAGGTGCGACGCCTCCTGATGTGGGGGGTTTATGCTGTACTGAACACTGGGAGTGCACTTCACGGAGAAGAACGTGGAGCTTGGAGGTGCAGTCCTGAAAAACAGAAAAACAGCAGAAAACATGAAGTCCTTTACAAAACACGATGTTTTATTGCATTAAACAAATATAGTTGTACGTTTCTGAAAGCGCTTGAAAGTGTTTGTCAAATCAGAAGTGAGGCAGAGCAGTGATGCATCTGCAGCCAGACAGCTCATATTTCTCAACAAGTATATTTAAACACTGTCTGTGTTAAAGATAGAATGTATTTATGGTCAAGGAAGAAAAACAAATTAACTGTACAATATTTCCTAAAATTATACAATCAGAAAAGACAAAGACAAGCTGTCAATTATCAATATTTATACTTATTCTGAAGATTTTAATTATTTTTGAAGCACAAAATTAAAGATTTTTTTTTTACAGGCACAAAACACTAATCACAAATATTCAGTCAATGATGAATTATTCCTGTTTCCATCAGTTTATTGGTGTTAAAGGCAACATGACATATTTCCAATACAACATTGTAGCCATGAGTGATTGTAATTGCTGTAATTATTTGTAAGAATTTAGCTGAATCTCTGTGTATCTGTACTTACAGAATGTGAATTTAGTCTTCTTCCATCGTTTTTAATTGAAACCCCCAACATTTCAGTGATAAGATGTGTGTGCGTGCGTGCGTGCGTGCATGTGTGTATGCACACACAGTATTTAAAAAGATGTATTTTTTTCACACTGACATGAAATCAGAAAAAACATTTAGGTCAATTAGGATTATCTTTTTTTTTTTTTTTTTTTTTTTTTCTATTTGTGAAATGCCAGATTAATGAGAGTGAGAATTGTTGAAGGCTATTTTTATTTTTCATTCAATCTTTATTTATACAGGTTAATCTCATTGAGTCTTGGGGACTCATTTACAAGAAAAACCTGATTTTAACAAATAGTGATGACAACAGTAGATAATCATAAAAGAAAGCTTACAGATTGAGACGAACAAATGAAAGAAAACGGTATTTAAAAAACGAAACAAAAACAACTAGGTTGTAAGGCAATCTAGGATACTAAAAACAGGAACATGTCTGCATTGGTTTTTGCCATGAACTTAACAGATGTTTGAAGCCACTTAGAGAGGTTACGGTCGAGAGCTTCAGATCTTTTTGCAAAATATTCCAGGAAATGGGAGCGGAGAAGGCAGTTAAGTCAATTTTTTTTACTTTCTTCAAAGTCAGAAGTTTAAATACACTTCATTAGTATTTGGTACCATTGCCCTTAAACTGTATGACTTGGGTCCACCATTTTGGATATCCTTCCACAAGCTGCTCACAACAGTTGGCAGGAATTTTGTCCCATTCCTCCTGACAGAACAGCTGTGACTGAGCCATGTTTGTAGGCTGCCTTGCTGACTCATGCCTTTTCAGCTTTGCCCATACATTTTCGATATGATTGAGATCAGTGCTTTGCGATGGCCACTCCAAAACATTGACTTTGTTCTCCTTGAGCCACTTTGTAACCAGTTTGGCAGTATGCTTCAGGTCATTGTCCATTTGGAAGCCCCTTTTGCTCCCAAGCTTTAACTTCCTGACTGATGGCTTGAGATGTTGCTTCAGTATTTCCACATAATGTTCTTTCCTCATGATGCCCTCTATTTTTTGAAGTGTACCAGTCCCTCCTGCAGCAAAACACCCCCACAACATAATGCTGCCACCTCCGTGTTTCACAGTCAGGATGGTGCTCTCAGGCTCGCAAGCTTCCCCCTTTTTCCTCCAAACATAACGATGGACATTATGGCCAAACAGTTCAATTTTAGTTTCGTCAGACCGCAGGACCGCTCCAGAAATTAAAGTCTTTGTTCCTGTGTGCATTTGCAAACATTAATCTGGATTTTTAATGTTTCTTTTGACATAATGGCTTCTTCCTGCAGAGTGGCCTTTCAGCCCATGTCGATACTCGTTTCACTGTGGATAATGACACACCCTTACCAGCTTCAGGCAGCATCTTCACCAGGTCTTTTACTTTTTGTTCTTGGATTGATCTGCACATTTCGGACCAAAGCACGTTCATCTCTGGGACACAGAACCCGTCTCCTTCCTGAGCGCTATGATGGCTGGACATTCCCATCTTGTCTGTACTTGCGTATAAATGTTTGTACATATGAACAAGGCACATTTAGGCATCTAAAAAATGCACCCCAAGGATGAACCAGATTTGTGCAAGTCCACAATTCACTTCCTGATAAGTTGGCTTATTTCTTTCGACTTTCCCATGATGTTACACAAGGAAGCAGTGCGCTTGCTCCACAGATGTCTTTAATTCACTCAGATGTTATCAATAAACCTATCAGAAGCTTCCAAAGACACAACAGTAAATGTCCCAAATTGTTTAAAGGCATAGTAATCTTAGTGTATTTAAACTTTTCACTTTGAAGAAAGTAATAAAAATTGCCTTAAAAATTCTCTCTCATTATTCTGGCATTTTGCAAATAGAAAAAAATTTGGTAATCTTAACTGACCTAAACCGGGAAAAGTTTATTCTGATTTCATGTCAGACAGTGTGGAAAAAAATGCACATCTTTTTAAATAGTGTATGTAAATTTCTGGTTTCAATTGGTATATAACGTGAGCATAGATGACTTGACAATTTTTTCCATCTGTAGCTTCCTCAATTTATCATGACCCCATGCAAGATGGAGTTTAGATATTCTAGACCCTCAAAGCAGCCTGGGGGACCAAACCAAATGCCAGTCTCACTCCACTCAGGGAGTGTCTGGCATAGTTCTGTTGTACAGAAGGCTGCCCACTGAATGTAGGTCTATAGCTTTGAGACAAAGACTATCTTTTATACAACAACAATGGACTTGTGTTTTTAAGCTGTGGAATAAAATACAGTAAAATAAAATTCATTGTTTCTCCCACTCCCACAATCTGCATACTTGTGACATATTTCTTTCTTATATCTATGACTGTGTTGAAATAATCTAATTTGATTTAACATATCAAACCTTCAGTAGACCTTTAACGTTTGTTATGTTAAATCAAATTAGATTATTTCAACACAGTCATAGATAAAAGAGAGAAATGTGTCACAAGTTAAAACATTATTGTAGTCGATTTGTACTGAAACATACAGTATTTTAAAAATAGAAATCAAAATTTATGGAATAAACTCAATTGCCAAACACGCTCAGCATTCTGAGCTCAGCTCTAGTTACTGTCGTCTCTGCCTTTATTGACATACACCATAAATATGAAAATACAAATATTAATCAGCCTTTTTTCCATAAAAACACTACATGCGTGTTAAAGCTGGTAAAAACCATTTCTGCAATAATAAGATGATTATGACAAGTGCCTTGAAATAAACGGGTCAACAAATGATTTACAGAAGAAAATCTTTAATTAGACCAACATAAACAGCATTTAATTAATGACTTTACATTTTTTTTAAAGACAGGGAAGAGGCTCAGAAATTATTTCATAAGTGGTTTACCTGCTGAGCAAATAGAATGAAACATCTTCAGAACCTGACAAACTTTGCTCACCTGTAGTGTGTTAAGAATGTGGGGGAAAAAACTTACCTGTTTAAGTTTACAATCAGCTCCGAGCCGACCACGTAAACTGCACACGTAGTTTTATCATAATCTAGTCTGAGAGTCCGCTGGTGAACCATGGCTGCAGTCTTTCCAGAGTGCGACACTCTAACGCTGGATAAAAACTCTGCTGCTGATCCTTTATCTGGAGACCCAAACCAGTCTGAGCTCTGTGCAAAGAGCAGCTGTGAAGGGAGGAGTTGTTGAGTCCAAAAATAATAATCTGCCAGAAACTGAGCGGCCTCCATGGGCGCAGCCCCCACAGATACATTAAGATGTCTTCAATTCCTTCAAAAATTTAGTTTCCTTTGAAATCTGCCGGAGCATACTTACTCTGTGTTTTTGCTATTTTTAGTTCATAGCTACCATGGTGCTATTTTAATTAGCATGTTGCTGCTTTTGGCTTTCAGCTTGTAAGTTGCTTTTTTTTTTTTTAGCTTTTAGCTACTGTTGTTCTATCTATAATAAGCTCAACAAGCTTTAAGAACTTGGTTTCAGTGGTTTCCTCAGAAAATTGCAGCAAAGTCTTTCAGCTCTCAGTATTCAAACTGTAGTTTACAAAGATATCCATGTATTTTATTTCCTTTTTGCAGAATCTGATGCTTAATAGAAATTGTACTGACTCATATTGACGTTGCATTTCTGATGGTGCCACAGGAGCAGCCATACGGGGAGGTCATTATTAAAGGCACTGACATGCCAAAGGGCTTGAATGTAATGCTAAATGTAAATGTTTTAAAATTTATTGTAAAATTAAAAACAAATGCACTGAGTTAATCCTTTTCGCATAACTGGTTGTAACTACCATACTCATCACTGCACTCTGTACTCTTTGATCAGTTGGTCCTCATTATCTACATGTAGGCTCTCACACTGGTTCATTTTCATCTATAAATCCCTCCTTGGTCTGCTGCCTTCTTATATCTCCTTATTCATGTCACATTGTCAGTGCAGCTACAACATGCTCTCTCAGGACATCATTACTTGCAGTGTTCCCTCGGTGCAGACTGAACTTGGCAAAAATACCTTTTCCTACTCAGCTCCTGCAACCTGGAACACCTTGCAACAAAATCTGAAGCTGTCCACTTCGATTTATTCAAGGGATTTTAAACATTTGATAATGTCAATAGAAAAATCTATATGCAAATATGTTCTTTTAGTATTTTACCTAGTTTTAATAAGGCTCCTTGATTTGACTGTTTTTTCTAACATACTTTTATTTAATTTTAATTGCTTTTTGTTGAATTATTGTTATCTGTACTTTATATGTTGTCGGTCTAAAACAGGTCTCTTGAAAATGAGTCCTTGTGACTCAACGAGACTAACTTATATAAATAAAGATTGAATGAATTTAGATTGACTGAGACAAAGCTTTTTTTAAGCAGTTGTAGATGACAGGAGTTAAATTGTGTACAGGTTAAAAAAAGACGTCAAATGCATTAAGTTGTTTTTAACAGATCAATTAAAATGGAATAAAAAAAAATGTACGAAAAAATAATATTGTAGTCTTTTCAGTTGGTTATTAGATTTTACAAATGTTTGAGTCTGCCATCTTGTGGCTCTGTACTATTACTGCATATTACTGTACTTTTACTGCGTATTACTGTGGTACTATATGGCCTGTCTGATTTCAACCATTAAACAAAAATAAGTCTTTTAGCTCAGTTGATTGTATTTTTCCTCTAGAATGTGTTGACATTTAATAAAAAATTAGAGAAGTATTAATGGACTATAACCTATTAACGTTTAATAAAGTTTATTTTTGTACCAAGATCTTTTCCCACAATAATGTTTTCCAGATGTGAACTAATGGTTACCATGTTGATTTTAGAATGACAACAGATGCCTACTTCAAAAACAAATGAGAACATAAAATAAGTTGAGTTCCAATTATCTAACACATTTTATTTCTAATCTGAGGAATTATTACAGGTATAATTGAAGTACACCTTGTTTCAAGTTATTGTGCAACCTCTAGGAAAGTCATGAAATTCACTTTTATATTTGTTTATTTCCCATTTAGTATCATTAAGCAAATATCTAAGTATATAAAAATTTTATAATGTGCATGTTGACTTTTTAAAAAAATATTGTCTTGCTGCTTTGCTGACAAATGTGAAAGCTGTTTGCATATGTAAACTTGGATGAGCTGCGAGGTGCTGGCAGACATCTTTAACACCTCACTTACCCTGGAGACAATTCCCACCTGCCTGAAGACTGCCACCATCATCCCAGTCCCAAAAAGCTCTACAGTGACTGGTCTGAATGACTATCGGCCAGTGGCCCTCACCCCGATAGTCGCTAAATGCTTCGAAAAACTGGTCACGACTCACATCAAAATGACCATCAACATCAACGAGGACCCTCATCAGTATGCATACAGTGAGAACCGATCAACAGAGGATGCCATCTCCTCTGTGGTCCGCACTGCGCTCAACCACCTGGAGCAGAAAAACTCTTACGTCCATATGCTCTTTGTGGACTTCACATCCGCCTTCAACACCATGATCCCCCAAACCCTGATGGACAAACTATTCACATTAGGACTAAGCCCCTCCATTTGCAACTGGGTACTAGACTTCTTAACAAACAGACCACAGTTGGTGAGGATCCACAACTTCTCCTCCACCATAACCCTCAACACAGGCTCTCATCAGGGATGTATGTTGAGCCCCCTCCTGTTTACTCTGCTCACGTATGATTGTGCAGCTACCCATCCAGGCTGTCACACTGTAAAGTTTGCAGATGATACAGCGGTGGTGGGATGCATCACAAACAATGATGAGTCCAGCTACAGGCAAGAGGTGGAACACCTGGAGAGCTGGTGCAAAGAGAATAACCTTCACATCAATGTGAAGAAGACAAAGGAGATGATTGTGGACTTCAGAAGGAACAAACACCCCTACACCCTACTGAACAAAAGAGGATCTGCAGTGGAAGTGGTCTCCAGCTACAAGTTACAAGTACTTGGGTGTACACATGAATGACAACCTCAGCTGGAGTAACACCACCAGCCTGATCAAGAAAGCTCATCAGAGACTCTACTTCCTCAGATGGCTGAGACGAGCTGGTCTGGGAAGCTCAGTCCTCACCTCCTCCTACAGGTATGCAGTGGAGAGCATCCTGTGCCCAAGCATCAACGTGTGGCATGGAGGCTTCACAGCTGCAGAAAGAAAAGCTTTGCAGAGAGTGGTGAAGGCTGCACAGAAGATGTTGGAGCCAGTCTCCTCACCATCACAGACATCTACACCTCCAAATGCAGGAAGAGGGCCACCTGCATCATGAAGGACCCCACTCACCCAGCACACACACTTTTTGCCCCACTCCCCTCAGGAAGGAGGTTGAGGAGCATTAAGTGTAGAACCACTAGACTGATGTAGTGTGTCAAGGACAGCTTTGCTGTGGACATACTGTCCCACCAAATGTGTTATTTAAAACACATACGGTCCCACCAGATGTAGTGAAATGGTGGGGGACAGCTTAACTGTACCTTCACTACTAATTATTTAAATATAACGGGTTCTCTCTTTTTCGAGTTAAATTAATGCCATGTGACGAGATAACTGTGAGGATTGTTTAATCAGTGACAAGAGATGTTAAATTTCCTTTGACCCATCAGAATAAATGTGGTCATTTATTTAACAAATCAAAATTTAACATCAAAACATGTACATGTGATTAGCTGATCTGGTTCTGATTAATAAAACTTGGCACGCTTTACTAATAAGACAAGACATTTCTGAAGGCATCTAGATTACTGGCAAAATAGAAGAGTTGAAAGGAAGGATGGGTGAAGAGTATGTTGTTGACCAAGAGGGCACGCTTCTTTCAATCACCAGCTCAAACCTCCGGTAAACTTAGCACGTCACGACTCGCTCTGGTGTCGGGTCCATTTCAACGCTACCTTCCAGCGTCTCCGGTAAGAGCGGCTGGTCATCGTCAGAAGTCATGTCGATTTACTCCGTTCAACAAACAGGCTCAGCTCCCTTCAAAGTTGGAGGTATTACACCCGGGTGGATTCACAGCAAGCATCTGTGAGTCCATCAGAGATCCCACTCAGGAGTGGAAGACTCCACAAGGCTTGAGAAGACTCCATCAAAGACTGAGTTCAACTCAGATCCAAGACTTCTGAAGAACAGACTAGACTCCAGAAGACCTAGTAGACTTAGTAGTTCCAGGAAATGTCGACTTTTAAAAGCGTTTTCACTTCTGGTCACTTAGGACTTCCTGATTGGTTGAAACAACCAACAGGGGGTGTGTTTCAGTGATGTCAGAGGGTTATTAAAAGTCAAAAAGACAGCAGGAATGTTTAAGAACGTTTAGTACAGACAGAGAAATGTTTTGAAGAAGTGAGAGGAAGCTGGTGCCAGTTGCTGCTTTTTTACCGTCTGCTAGGTTTAAAAACAGGACAATTCGTTCTAATAACTTCTTTCTGGCTGTCTCTGACTTTTGACCGACATCACTACTTCTCCTTTAGACAGAAAATCAAAATGCATAATTACGTTGTAAATAGACATTTACCTTGATTTCTAATTTAAATGAGGATTAAAAAATGATTAATACCGTTTCACAGTTGATTTAAAATGAGTGGTTCACTTCAACATTTAGAAATGGTATGAACTAAACACACTTTTGATTATCAAGATACTATAAAATAGTAATGATAATAAAAAGAAGAGTGGTCTTTCAATTGATTGTTCAGGATACAATTAGACAATCTCTGGATGAGCTAGTTTGTATTTCTGGATTAAAATCAATGAAATAACAGTTCCTGTCCCATGAAGGTCTTCAGAGGCAGGTTTTGGTCGGAGGCCTAGTTCACTACAGTCCCCCCTTTGGAAATCATCGCCTGTCCATGGGGATGAATTCCAACATGAACTTATGCCTCCGTTTGTCCTTGATCTTGATGTAATCCAGCAAGAGGAAAACAAAAGTCAAAGAAGGTAATCCCACAACGGTTTAGGTAATTCCACAATGTTGTTGGTAATTCCATTATGTTGTTGGTAATTCCATTTTGTTGTTGGTAATTCCATTGTAGCAATGCTTTAACCCCTTGGAAATAAAGTCTGTAATCCATTGGAAAAAGTCATACAATCCACAACGATAAATGCACAACGATAAATCCACAACGATAAATCCACAACAATTGGAGGTGTTGA